GGATTTATTTACTTTTGTGGCCAGCGGTTTAGACATTAATGGCTGTGTGTTGAGTTATTTTGAGGGGACAGCACATTTACACTGTTATACAAGCTGTACACTCACTACTTTACATTGTAGCAATGTGTCATTTCTCCAGTGTTGTCACGTGAAAAGATATAATACAATAAAGGAACCTCAAGCGTGATCTAGGTAAATGTGAGCAAATATAGCCCCATATTTTGCCTGGGACCCCCAATTCACTAAATCCGCCCCTGAATTTATCCCTAGATTTGTATATAAAATATAACAAAATATCATCTCTATTTACTGTAAATATTTGAAAATTGAGCTGAATCGACACCATATCTTCACATAGTATCACCAGTTCACCACTAAATGAAATGTAGAATATGCAGTATTTACATTTTAGATCAGTAGTATTCCTGGCTGTCCTTAAAATTGCTTTTTGTAAACAATTCCCTAGTTTGGAGGTGCGAGACTCTGATGCTCACTTAGGGACCTTGTATAACCAACAGATACAGCATATTACTGTAGATACAGCATTTCTATCATACTTGCCAACTTATACTTCTTTCTTCTTAAAAATCATTCCTTCTTTTCCCAAATGAGGTATTCATCTTTCAAATTTACTTTGTTGGAGTAAATCCCTCTCATACACACTTAAACTGGTATACGTTTGTGCAATGTTGCGTTGAATGAAATGTGATAGAATTTGGAATACTGATTAAAGGGGTCATATGATGTTGCTAAAAAGAACATTATTTTGTGTATTTGGTGTAATGAAATGTGTTTATGCGGTTTAAGGTTCAAAAAACACATTATTTTCCACATACTGTACATTATTGTTTCTCCTCACAATAGTTTTGCGAGAGAATGCATATTTTGTGAGCAAATGCAGTTTCTTGAGGAAACGCAATACTTTGCGAGAAAACGCAAAAAGCATTTTTCTTTCAATCACAATATATTTTGAATAGTTTTCAAATACTATTCAAACATTACAGGACTGCTGCCATCAACATTTCATAATATAATTACTTTATACCTTCATTTAACACATTATGAAACAGTTCCAGTCTTCAAATCTGATTGACCCAAGCTGCTTTCCAACAGGGAGACAATGTTTGTATTGCTCCGTTTGTCTGTGTTCACACCATTCCAAACTGTAATATACAGTGTTGAGTAGAAACTGAATCAATTCTGTGTGATTTGATGAGTGGCTGTTTCAAAGTAATGGCAGCTCGTGTTTTCTCTTGCTCAAATGATCGCTCTAAGCGGGTTTCTCTTGCCAGTGAGAAAATTAACAACCTGGAGTGGAACCAATGGAGCCGGCTTATTGCAGCATGCATTGACTGGGAATTGGAACTTCGCTCCACTCTCCACATATATGCTGCCCCAGTCCAGCTTTTAGTTTATGCTCCATTTGACTCGGTGACATTACATCCTTTGCTCTTCATTGAGAAATGTTGTTGGTTTGTTATTAAATGAAATTATAGAAGAACAAAATGTGCCTCCAACAAAAACATCACAGTTGAATGAAAATCTTTTTGAATTTTAATTTGACAGAATGACTGAAGACTATTCCAACCTGAAATGCACATCTTTGAAAATCAGAGAACATGATATTAGATAAAAATCATTCCCGGTTAAACGTTTTCTTACTTAAGGCAAGATGCCACAGGTGAATAAGCTAAAAAATAACTAAGATATCACCCCAGTTGATTAATCACATTAGGCCATATTTCTGGCTCAGCGCAGGAGAAAAAACTCATTTTGAGAAAGGCATTAAGAATTGCAATAAAATAAACAAGCAAAATAGCCCAACAAATCTCAATATTGGCCAGTGCATGAAAAAACGATGGTTTTGCTTGTATAGTGTCTTGCCTTAAGTGGTAAGATGTGCATATGACATGCACGTGTAAAGCAAAATCATAAAAAAAAAAAAAAATACTGAAATACACATCCAATAACTCAAAACACATTCTTTTTTTTCCCTAACACATTTATTATTTTCTGACATTTTTATTCTCTTTCATTCTGAGATGATCTGTGGAACAAAAAGAAGAACATTTACAAGAGCAACATGCAGAAATGTTTCGTCTTGCAAGTAAGATGAAGGTGGGTGTTTTCGGGCAAACATACTAATTTCAGCAAAGCACTAAGTCTGGGCAATATGGAAAACCTGATCACTTTTACAAAAATAGATGACCAAACAGCCTGGCATGATTTTGGATAATTATACAACGGTGCTAATGTGGCTCGGAATCAGATTGTAAATCATGAGAGATGTCCTTGATTACTGGAGGCTTGTTACGACGTTAGGTCATAACCTAACGTCGGTTTCGTCAACAGCTTTTTAATGAGCCGCCTGTTTTGTTAGTCCATTAATCAAGTCCCAGTTCAGTAGCAATATGAGAAAACAACAATGGGTCTGTGCTGTTTGTGAGCTCAGCCAGTGTTTCATGAAATAAGAAAGAAACAGACGTTTTATATTTGAGCGGAAGTACAGCTTCATAAGAAAAGACTCTGTAATGTAAATAAATACATAAATATATCAATATAGAATAAATACATAAACCTCGTACAACAGTTGTTTTTCTTCAACAATACATTAAGTGGGGAGTTTGTGGCAGCATCTGACACAAAACAGATGCAGCTGCGAAAAAGAAACAGGCTAGAAGGCAATTTCTTGACGAATGAATTCACATGTTCATATGTCATCTTTATGGTTTGCTTTGCTTTGCCTCAGCTATCGTGTTCTGGTTCTAAAGCAAACAATTTTATCTCAGCATCACCATTAAAGCAACTAACAGGTGCCATAGTAATTGTCTTGCAGTGTTAGTATACATGCACTCGTGTGCTCTGAAGGTGAATGTGGAAAGAAAGGATGGATGTGGTTTTTCAGAGCATGAAAGGAAAACAAACTTGGCAGAGAAGTTGACCCCTATGAACCACAGACTAATGAAATACTGGAAACACAGATGTGAATCAAATAAAAGCTACTGCAAGTGTCTCCATAAAGATGGTTGCATTTCAGACAGTCGAAATGCTACAATAAAGTCCTTGTTTTTCTACGGTTTTCATCTTTTAATGGACTGAGCTTGCTAATTGCTCAATAAAAGAGAATGTGAGTTGAGGGGGAAAAAAAACCTGTCTTTCAGTTTAATGACAGTCCCCTGTCCTTCATTAGGCTGCGTGTGTATTGTCTGGCCGTTCTGAAGGCCTCTGTGAGCTCAAGAGGCTTTTGAAACTCAGTAGGAATGTGGTACTTTGTTAGCCGTAGATAAGAGCGCAGAGCTGCGTGTTATTATGTGTGTGCTCACTGAAGACTTTGATTTCACACAAACTTCAGAAATTACAAAGAAATGAGTCGTCGCTTTTTTCTGAAACGTCCTACTGCCATAATCCATCACATCCCAGAAGGAGGAGGTTATGTCCTCAAAGTTTGAAAAGTTTTATCCCATAAAACATGTGCTATGCACCCTAAGCCTCACAACTGATTGATGAGCTAATTATGGGTTGTTAAAGTGACAGTACAAGAATTACTAACCCTTTCAAATCTGTCAATGCCACCCAAACAAAGTGAGAATGAACTGGCAGAGGAACACTTCTGTTCCTCAAATAATGTTCTATGGTCAGACATATGAACTATTTGTGCTTTACAATGTTAAAAAAAACACACACAAAAAAAACACTGCTTATGTATAGCTACAAGTAACGCAGCAAACCCCGACATCTACCCGTAAATGTATTTTCCAGATGAAACATGAAACAGCTGGAGGGCTTGCTTGCTTATTTGCTTACTTTCTTTCCTTTTTTACTTTTGTGCTCAGGGTATAAAAATGCAAGTATATGCATTTTTCATGATACAAGTGTTTACAATGTGTTGATTATAGGTGCTGCAGAGGGCTACGATATACTGTTGCTTCTTTTAAGCCAGTTTAAAGCCCAAAGTATACTTGATTTTTGATGCAAACACTTTCAAAATATACTCCAAACATACACACTAGAATGTTTCATCCTTGTCTAGTGTCTGCACCATTTCTTTCCAGAAGTTATGACCGGTAAACATGTCTTTGTACTCGTTTAAACAAGAGTGCCGGGTATGTATTAATGTCCTCACATAAGTGCTTGTTTATTGTGGCTGTGTCTCTGGACTTAAGCCCAAAGTGTACTTTGGGTTTTGGCGCAAACACTTAGCGATGTTGATGATGATATTTACATCAAGCGCACTGTACGCATATCTTAGCATATGCATAAAAACCTGAGTATACTTTGGGCTTAAAGCCACCTTTTCATTGTATACGCACTTGTCCCCCTATTGGCAGCTGAAATAAACTGTGCACTTGTTTGTGAAGCTACCATGTTTCTGTTCACGTCTCCAGTAAAGGAGCGTCACAACACAAGAATTTACCCTACGGTTAATGAATAGCTGAAAACATGCAGTAATAAGACTAATTTTGGAGAATAGAAACAGTGTAAATAATTATGTTTATTTATTATTAACGCCTGTTCTACAGAAGCAGCAGGTATTTAGGAGAGTTTTTTAAAATTATCGATAGTTTACATTCATTCAACTTACGCAATTTTCAACCAGCTTTATATTGTTACAATGTTGTTAGTATATGTAAGTGAACATGATTTGTTCTCCTTCTCCATGTTACCTGCACCCAGATACCCCCATTTATTTGTCTGGAAATGTCTGTCAAATGAAGCAAAATGTGTCATTTGGCTATTAACCATACATATACTACTTCATTACAACATTGTAATGATGCAAACCTGGTTGAAAATGATCCTTTAATAAAAGGATCAAATTAATCTGTTTGCTATGCTAGTCTGTAGGCTAACTAAAACAGACATCAAATGACATATAACATGATTTTGTAGTAATTGTAATCCGGCGCTAAAGAGAGTACCCATTAAAAGTTCTTTAAGCCAATGGTATCACTTGAGGTCCCAGTGGAGACCCTAATTTTTCACAACACTGGAATCCATAAAGGATCGGACCATTGCGAACAAATTTGGGTCTATAATCTGACGTAAGCAGTGAAAAGGCGGCTTAAAGAGATTCACAAATTTAGTAGTCTAATGCTAATCAGGCCAGATCGTAATATTAGCACAGGTTAAGATTTTTTGCACATGCAATTTCAGTGATGTGCCTTGAATATTCACTCAGTTTACGATATAAGAAAATAGCTTTGCTTTATGCAAGCATACATTTTGTTCACTCTAGATTTCCAGGTGTCTCAGTATTAGCTTCATTAGTACAGCAACATGTCTTCATGACAGGTCCCCTCTGCAAAGCCCAAAGCTTCGGTTTGACATATAAATACATCTGAATATTTACTAAGGCGAGCTCTGTGCTGCGCTCAGAGGCTAGCCCAATTAATATTGAATACTAACATTGTGAAACCCTACCCATCAGCTCTGTCTCCTTTGGTATAACCACTGTGAACATGTGTGAAGTTTTATGGATGTTGTAATAGTTAAACTACGGATTCTTACTTTAAACTGAAGTACAAATACAGTAGTTACATTGTTTGTTCTGTTGAATGCTAGACCACTTTATTTTAAAGTCTCTGATTGTTCATCTTTAAATTATATTTACAACGCATGTCCTAACAGGAACAATGGACACACAGGAACAAATTCAAGTGCTATTCATATAATTTAGGTCTTAGTCATGAGAACCGTGTTACAACTTTGTAATCACTAAATCCAGTATAGCAGCTAGCCTTGGTATATGATAGAACTGGTTTAATACTGCAAAGTGACCCTGAATTTGAACTAAGGCAAAATATCAGTAGTGCTGTGCTAGCAAGACAGTAATGTAAACGACAAAAACATAAACTTAAAATACACATTATGTAAAAAGAAGACGTTCCCTTCTTTATGTTTTTAAGTATCAATCCGTTAGACGTGAAGGAACATCAACGTTCATAAATGGATGACTGTTCGCTCTTGGTCAGTCTTTGAGACTGTTGTAACCATTTTTTGTGTCTCTTCTTCATCCAGAGTTTATAAAACCATGGAAGTGAGGAGTTTTATCAGTTCTCACATGTTCCCTCATTAATTTACATAACAATTTCCTTTCTGTCTAGTGCCCTCTGGTTTTGTTCTTGAAAAATACTGACGATATTGCCTTAGAAAAGACTAATCTGTGCTTTAGAATACTAGGTCCATATTGTTGAGCTTGTTTAGTTGTGGTTTACAGGAAAAAGCATCCAAACTGTTCAAAAATGTGGTATTAGGTAATATCTCCCTGCCATCCCCTTTTGGGTCCTTCTGGAAGCATCCCTGCAACACAAAGTAAGAAGAATGTTCAGTGTACAAAGCCACACTTCTGTCACTTAGAAGGGCCAGATACATTTCAAACACATGGTTCATGTCCTTCAATGACCCCATATTTGCTCAGTGACACCTGAGATGATTAAGTCTGAACAGATTGCTTTTTCATTACCGACACCGAAGCAGATGTCAGATCTCCACGTTTGGGTCTGTAAAGCCTTTCTTGCCTTCGTTCACCAGGACAGGTTTTTCCGTCCGTGTGTGCCACACAAGAATCTGTAATTAAAAAAACCCAAACATTATGGTTTATGGAGTGGAGAGAGGAGAATTTGATTTTGTGATGATGAACAGTTTCTCTTAGCTAGGTCAATGACATCATGTTGAATAGTCTGGATCTATTTAAGTTTATTTATTTTAAAATGCATTGAAATTGCAATTCATACACCGTCTATGATAAGCATGTTTTTCATTTCTGTATTAAAACACAGTATACACTCACCGGCCACTTGATTAAGTACACCTGTTCAACTGTTTGTTAATGCAAATATCTAATCAGCCAATCACAAGGCAAGAACTCATTGCATTTAGGCATGTAGACATGGTCAAGACAATCTGCTGAAGTTCAAACCGAGCATCAGAATGGGGAAGAAAGTTGATTTAATTGACTTTGAACGTGGCATGGTTGTTGGTACAAGACGGGCTGGTGTGAGTATTTCAGAAACTGCTGATCTACTGGGATTTTCACACACAACCATCTCTAGGGATTAAAGAGAATTGTGCAAAAAAAATAAAAAATCCAATGAGCGGCAGTTCCGTGGGCAAAAATGCCTTGTTGATGCCAGAAGTCAGAGGAGAATGGCCAGACTAGTTTGAGATGATAGATAAATCAACAGCAACTCAAATAATCACTCGTTACAACCAGGGTATGTAGAAGAGCATCTCTGAACGCACAACATGTCGAACCTTGAAGCAGATGAGCTAAAGCAGCAGAAGACCATAATGGGTGCCATTCCTGTCAGCTAAGAACAGGAAACTGAGGCTACAGTTTGTACAGGCTCACCAAAACTGGACAATATATAAAGGTTGCCTGGTCGGATGAGCCTCAATTTCTGCAGCAACATTAGGATGGTAGGGTCAGAATTTGGTGTAAACAACATGAAAGCACGGATCCATCCTGCCTTGTATCAACGGTTCAGGCTGCTGGTGGTGGTTTAATGGTGTGGAGGATATTTTCTTGGCACACTTTGGGCCCCTTAGTACCAACTGAGCATTGTTTAAATGCCGCAGCCTAGAGTATTGTTTAAATGCCACAGACTAGAGTATTGCTGCTGACCATGACCATCCATTTATGACCACAGTGTACAAATCTTTTGATACTTCCAGCAGGATAATGTGCCACGTCACAAAGCTCAAATCATCTCAAACTGGTTTCTTGAACATGAGTTCACTATACTCAAATGGCCTCCATAGTCACCAGATCTCACATCAAAAGAGCACTTTTGGGATGTGGTGGAAATTTGCATCCTAGACGTGCAGCCGACAAATCTGCAGCAACTGCGTGATGCTATCATGCCAATATGGACCAATATCTCAGAAGAATGTTTCCAGCTCCTTGTTAAATCTATGCTACAAAGAATTAAGGCAGTTCTGCAGGCAAAAGGGGGTCCAACCCGGTACTAGCAAGGTGTACCTAATAAAGTTGCCAATGAGTATACATATATAATAATTCAAAACCATTCTAAATTTAAACCATATAAAACCAACATGAATACTGTTAAGTAGTGCCTGTCTTTGTGCCTTCGCTTTGTGTTCGGACATTTATGTTGCTTAGTTTCCTGTTCCCTGTGCTTGTTTTGTAGTTCTGTTCTTGAACACTCTTCTTTGTTATTGACTCAACTTTTAAAGTTGTTCTTTTAGTTAAGTCTTGTTTTTAGAATAGTTTTTGCACAGTCTGTTCTATTTTTCTGTAAGCTCACTCCCTGTCCTATCATCTACTGTTAGCCGCCTCCTACACGGTAGTGCTCACAAACACTCACAGATATAAAGTTTCTCCTCAGCAACAGTGTACCATCAACAGTACATCTCCAAATTTAGCATGGTGATCCTCATGGAGTTTAGAACATCTCCATCACAACATCTCTCTGGGTACAGATCTGAAGTGCTGAAATATACATCAGCTATAGCTATTGTGTGTGTGTTTGTCTAAATGTCTCTCTTGGTATAGCAGTGAGATAAAAGAGACACTGTGCATTACATTTTACTCTACCTATTTATGCCATCAAGTAATCTGTACAAAAATTATATGCCTCAATACACTTCCTGGAAATTGTTTTTAATGTCCAGAGGTAGAAATACTGTCTGACTCATCCTTTCTCTTTCATCTCCCTTGTTGCTCTCTTTCCGAAACCACTGTCATTCTGCTCATTGCCTTCTGAATAATTTCTAATAGTGTTGAGATGGGTCTGGAGGCCCCACTTCCACTTGGGCTGCTAGTGGAGGTTAACAGTCCCACTTGAAATGATGGTGCATCTGTTGAGTTGTTCCGGTGGAATGCAGTTCATGGAATCTCTTGTGCACCTGTTCTATTCTTTGGGGTAAACAGACAGCGAGTCAAGGAATTGGTTCTCGTTTGTCTGCCTCTAAATGGTTAAAGGTGCCATAGAATGGAAAACTGTATTTACCTTGGCATAGTTGAATGATCTGTTCTGTACATGGAAATGACATACCGTGAGCCTCAAACAACATTGTTTCCTCCGTCTTATGTAAATCTCGTGCATGCAAAAGACCACTGAAAAATAGGCGAATCAGAACATAACACTGACTGTGACGTTACAGTCGGGATCACAAATAGTTACGTCCCCAACATTTGCATATACCTGCCCATGTTCTATGCCAGCCGCCAGCAGAACCTGCACAGCCGAATCATCAGAAGTTCTGCAGGTATTGTGAAGAAACAAGCGAGGATAATAGCAAAAATGGCAGATCATGGAAATAAATGTTATGTTCCAGGCTGTGCAGGGGATGTGATGTGCAGGGATGGGTTGGTGTCTGTATTCAGAAAGGCACGGAAAACAAATAACGCGCTCTAATAAAACAACGCGAGGCACTAAAGGGACATGGTTAGCTGTTTGCTAGCGGTAGCCTTTTACATTACAGTACATAAGATTTCACTTACCACATAAACAGTGTAAGGAGAGATGACTGAGGATGATGGTGAATGATTTACGGATCCTAAGCACCACTGACAAACATCTGATCTTCCGCCGCTGTAGTTTACACAGAGCACGTGCGATCGCAAATCTCGGAAGTGAAAGTAAAAAGCGATCGTGCATTCGAAAGCAGTTTCATTGCCCCGCATATTAATAGCGGCTCCCTGATGCCCGCATTTTATATAAAGTATAATTACCCAACGATATAACTTAATTTAAAATATTGTATCAATGCATTCTATGGCACCTTTAAATCCTGGTTTAGTCTTGTCTTAAATAAGGCATCCCTGAGCTCAGTAACGTCAATTAAAGCTCCGGGTGTGTGTTCACGGTGTGTGTGTGTGTGTGTGTTCACTACTGTGTGTGTGCACGGATGGGTTAAATGCTGAGCACAAATTCAGAGTATGGTTCACCATACTTGGCCACATGTCAATTCACTTTCACTTATAAGTCCCTTCACATATCACCAATTAAAACATCAAATAGCCAGTTCCTTTTTCTTTATGCATATACACACAAGTCTCATATGGACATACAGACTTTTGTGCCATTATATCATGCATTTACATTTATGAGGCTTTTTTATTTTTTTCAAAGTGATGAATGATGAACGCAACAACAGAAGTGATTCATCCTGGCGAGTCAGTAACATGAGAAGTGCTGCAACAAATTGTTCCAGAATTGCTCAGAAAATATGAGCTAGTACAGAGAGAGTGAGACACTGTGATACAACAGTTGTTGTTGTTTTTCTTTTTCTTTTTTACAGTTGTCCTTGGGTGTTTTTTAGGTGAAGGAGATAGACTTGGCTTCATGTATTAAATCAGTAGTTCAACTATACATAAAAGCTCATTTTTTGTCTAGCCTTGTATTGTTCCAAATGCTGAAGACTTTTAGAAAAGCATTGGGTCTCATTCAATAATAACTGTGTAGATTATTTCGTATTTGTGTGCACCGGGGAACTTCTCACGAAAATATTTCCACCTACTTCTCAACACATGAATTTGTTCTTAACCTCACTGTAATATTAATGAATTTGGAGTATTCTAAATGAATGATTGCATGCTCGAGGTTAGGCATTTGCATAAAACATGCCCAAGCCACCTCCATATAAGGGCTTTCCACACAACCTTTCCTTTACAGCCTTTCTTTTACGAAGACGAGTTCTAGCCTGTGAGCATGTGCAGAAAGATCCTTGAGCAATGCCAAGTGTGTCATACTCAAAACCAGTTCACTGCAAAAAATGCTTTTCTTACTTTTTGTAAGCATTTTTTTTTTTTTTTTTTTTTTTTT